CCGAGCACAAGGAGAAAGCTAAAGCATCTAGGTTCAGTGAAATGTAGAATTTAAAAGAACAAGTGTAGGCCAGGGAGACAGCTCAATGAGCCCAAGTGCCACGGCACAAGCCTAACGGCCTGAGTTTGACTCCCCAGAATCGACACAGAAGCCCATCAAAGTGCAAGCATGGTAGGCACAATGTGTCAGCAGGATAGGAGGGGCAGACAGGGACGCTCCAGAAGCTCACAGGCCAGCCTGGCTGGTGCAGTGGTCAGGTCAGGACAGATGCTGAAAGCTGTTCTCTGGCCTCCATAAGCACACTGTGTATGCCCACACTCAAACAGACATGCACACACCATCCATCTCTCCTCTCCCCTCCCCCCTCACACACAGAGGGAAAGTCAAAACAACTTGTATTAGCTAACATGTTTCTTACAAAAAGTGAAAGTCCAGTATTGTTTTATCTTATAAAGACAAAAAGGTTTAATCAAAAAATTTAGATTAATTAAAACAATTTTAGTTAAAAAGCAGTAACCTATTAGTGAATCTAGAATTATATCCAGTTATTGGATATATATATCCAGTTATTGAATATATATATCCAGTTATTGGATATATATATATCCAATAAAACTCTTGCATAAGGAGCTCCCTCCAGAGAAAAGACATTACACAAAGTCAGTACCCTCTGTTTCCAACCCACACTTTTCTCTATTTTCAACTATTCTTGCAAGCAATTTTCCTTGGCTATCTAAGCATCCCCTCAGCATCATCATAGGGCTCTGTAGGTGAAGGCCATTCCAAAGGGGAATGCAGTCCGCCCACTCTCAGTACGGCCAGCGCCCATTTGTGGTAATAATGTACAAGGTCAAACAGAGGTTGTCAGTCCATGATCAAAGCACACTGGCTGTTCTTGCTGCCATTTACATGGAACACACAAGATGTGTTTATTTTCGACAGCCTCTGGATGACCTCCTTTAGGTGGCATGAGAAAGATCCCACGTGTCTATAAAGCACAGGCCAAAGACTGCTCTGATTGGATACTCTCATCAAAAGCAAATTTTATCTTTTTCAAACTTTTGATCTTTTTCATTTACTCAGGAGCCCCTCAAGTTAAAGGCTATGTTGTCTAAACCACACCGGTATAGCGGATAAAAGAGGAACAGGGTACTGACAGACACTCAGGAGGAAACAGTGTGCACCCAACTGGAAGCCATCAGAAAACATACTCTTTAGTATTGTTACCTGAACTAGCACATAGCACAGCCAAGAACAAGACTTCACAATTCAAGGGCAGCCCAGCAAAGTCAACCTTACCTCTATTTTTGCTACTTAAAATTTCTACTCTTTCATCATAAAAACTCAGGAAAGTGAAAAAAAAAAGAAAAAGAAAAAATAGAACACAGCTGTTTACTACACATACACAATTCCTGAATCTTAAATGAGACAGCATCAGTCACAGAAAAAACAAATCCCTCATTCATCTGTGTTCTGTTGTCCAGTTAAAATGAGGCAGATCTACCTGATGTTTCAAGTGACAAAATAAAGTGATAATAATCAAACACAAATCATGATTAATAACTAAGAACACACTGGAAAGAAGCAAAAGCAGATGATCAGAGACCTGATATCCAAGAAAGAGTGGCAGGGCCTGGGAGCAGCTCAGCAGTAGAGCTTGGACAGCATGCACCAGGCCCTGAGTTCTATGACCAACACCACAGGGAAATTATTTTTTAAACTAGTGATGATACAAAGTTGTAATTATGGATAAGGGTATAAAAAATCTCAGTATGCTATTGTAATCTTTGGATGGACAAAAAGATTGGAAGTCATAGGCAGGCCAAGTGGCAAGCTATTATACTCTCCTTGGAGTTAAATTCTACCCCATTTCCTTAAAGAATTAAAAATGAAGCAACGCAAAAATGCATAAGAGGAGGCTGAAGGGAAAGGATGGAACCATGGAATGAGGGCAGACAGACATGTAGCATGATAAATCATGGTAGTAATAATCATAGTAATCACAAGCTACCCATCTTTGCTTGTCTTTGTTAGAATTAGGAGGGGACCTCAGGAAAGCCAAGACTCAACAGGAGTAAGCTCTTAGCCTTCAAGTATATAAATGTCACTTGTATCTGAAGTTTTCTCAATGAGAATTTTTTTGTACTATTACAGGATTACATTTACTCTGGAAAGAAATCAAATGTTAGTTGAAGTGTTATTTTAGTTAAGAACCAGTTGAAATGATCAAAAGCCTTTAAAGCCATTAAAAAAACCCTTAATCATATGTACTATTCCTTCTCATTTTTCTTTTAACCAAGCAGAACATTACATTAAAGAACGGCTTGCAACCAGTTTTGTAGTATTAAAATAACAAACTTTCCTTATGTCATTAGAACTTCATCAAGCACCATACTTACACTGAAGCATATTCACAAAAGAGTAACAGTGCTTACACACTATATAACAAAATCCATTCACAAAAATTGTATGGGGTATTATTTCCCTTTTCCTTTTATTTTTTTCCTACATTTTTGTTTGGGTTTGGGTTGTTACTTCGGTGATGCTATGGACTGAACCCAGGACCTCATATACATGTGGTCTACCACTGAGCTGCATGTGAACTTGTACAAACAGTCTAGAAGCACATCCAACAGTTAGATTACAAAATCTATAACCCTGAGACTATATTCTCTAGGTTTTATACCTAGGGGTGTCAGTAGTGATAAAATATTTTTGTATTAACTTTCCTACAATTTGGAGAATATGACAGATTTCTAAGAAAGGAAGATGGGAGGAAAAGAGACAGGAGGGGGAAAGAGAAGAAACAAAGAATTTTCTAGAAATGTGCAGCAGCATTAGCTATGGTTTAAATCTCTCTTCTACTCCTAGAGGTAAGCCTCCAGCCCTTCCCATCCTTCCTGCCTTCTTGCCCCTGCTGTGCCTCAGAAAGAATTCCTCTGTTCCTACTAAGTTAAAGACACAGACACCCTCAACTTTCAATTCTATCAAAACAACACCAAATCTGTATTTCCAGGATCAAATGTCTCCTACAACCACTTTTACCTGACACCTTCATCTAGCAAGCATATTACTAAAATGGCTAAGCCAGGTGTGGTGGCACATGCCTTTAATTCCAGCACTTGGAAGGCAAAGGCAGACAGATCGCTATGAGATGGAGACCAGCTTGGTATCCATAGCAAGTTTGGGGCCAGCTGGGGCTACAGGGAGACCATCTCAAAATACCAAGAAATAAAATGGCTAATGACCATCTCAAAAAAACAAAAATTAAAATAAAATGGCTAACGTACACTCTAGTCAGACCACCCCCAACCACTGATGAACTGAACTGCCTTAGAGAATATCAGGTGCTAATTCATCTATTAAGTAGAAATAAAAATGGAATCTCCAGTTCACTGATGGGCTACAGGAACCACGACAGGAGGGTTGCTGGGGCCCGAGGGGGACAGCCAGGCTGGCCAAAACCAGTGTGCAGGCTCAGTGAGTCTCAAAGGAATAAGGCAGAGAGCAACGCAGACAGGCATCAGGTGTGCTCCTCAGCCTCTGTGCATGCGTGGTGCATGTACACACACTAGATAAAAATAAATTAATAAGGGCTGGAGAGACAGCTCAGTGGTTACAAGCACGGCTGCTCTTTCAAAGAACCCACGTTCAGTCCCCAGTACCCACATTAGGTGGTTTACAATTGCCTTTAACTCCAGGTCCAGAGGATCCAACATCCTCTCACACATACATGGCACAGAGAGACACAGACAGACACAAAACAATAATAATAATAATAAATCTTTAATAAATAAAAAAGCAGAGACATTGAAAGGCCTGGCTGGGAAGACAAGCAAAAAACAGGAAGACAGGTGACACGCCTGTTACTGGGACTGAGTAGACCTGGGTGTGTTTAATCACCAATGCAAAGACCCAATGGGTTGGGGAAGCTGAAGATGGAGGAAGAAATAATCTCTAGAATAAGGTCTCTAAGGAAATGGGTGCATAAGAGTCAGAGCACATGGGAACAAAGAGCACTTCTTCCACTTTGAGGGAACAGACCCAGCACCAAGGACTGAAGAGTAATTAACTACTGGAACTCCTGGTCAGCTCGGCACTACACCACTAGACTAGGGCTAATGTAGGGACAGGAAATTCAGGCAATTCCAGCAGAGGTGTCCCACATCTTCTGAGAAGCCCACACAGCTACCGCTTGACAGACTAACTTCACAAAGGCTCAAATCACACTAGGAAAATTCTCAGTGAAGTTTTATTCATCAGATCAATCCAAAATCATCATAGAAGTCCAACTGGGTGTCTGAGGGCTTCCTTAATCTAGCTGTATGATGTATCTTTGTGTGTGAGTTAATTACAATAAAGTGATTTTTTTTTAACTTTTTTAAGGGGATGACTAAACAGCTCAGCAGTTAGAAACACTGGTGCTCTTGCAGAGCACCAGTGTTGGGTTCCCAGCACCCACATGACAGCTAACAACCATCTGTAACTCCAGTTCCAGGGGATCTTCTAACCTATGACCTACATGGGCAGTACACACATGGGCACATTCGCACATATGCAGGCAAAACACTCATATACATAAAATTAAATAAATGAACCAATATCTTTAATCTAATTCACTTTTAATATATAAATATTTTCATGCTAATAGAAATCACTCAGTAAAAGGTCAAAGATGTATATGATCTAAAGAGAAACTAGAGTGAGATGAGGCATCTTCTGAAGGCTTATTTGGGATCAGCTTCAAGAAGGCTTAGTGGGTAAAGGCACTTGCCATCAAACATGATGAACTATGGTCAACCCCTAGGACCCACATGGTGGAAGGAGAGCAAGTCATCCTCTGACCTTCACATGCTGTGGCACACGAACACCCACACACATATTGCACAAAAAAATAATTAGACCAAAAAAAAATGTAAAGAAGTTACAGGCTTATTTGCTGATAATTCTTACCTTGGTTATCTGAAGGAAAAAAAATGGGGTGGAAGCCTTCTACTTACTTGATTGAGTTTCTGAAGTGGTCTTCAGCTGGGTTTTTTACAGTGCAACTGTTCAGAAGCCATAAATCTGCATCTGATGCATTTTCTAGTTTAAAAAAAAATGAATTGAAATAAAGAAAAGCTAAATATCACATTTCAACAAACCAAAAAATTCCAAGTGCTTACCCAGATGGCACAGGAGTGCTGGGGGAAGGGAGGGAAGGTAGTGACAGAGTCAAGTAAACACCCAATTACAGGGCTGGAGGCAAAATGGTGCCAGGCAGAGCTGCTGTATCAGATCTGGTTTGGAAACCTGCAAACTTTGCACTAGCCAGATGGAATCTCAACTGTAAGACCAGATTATCTGGAGTCTCTCACTATTATAAACTGTGCTCCAATGAATAGCACCATGTTTGGACACCCACAAATCATTTGGAGCTTTTCCCAGATTACCTCTAGTATCAAGTATAAAAATGTGGGACAATTGAGTCAACGAATCGTTTCTGAAATTCTACTGCAGACACTTAACCTCCCCTGAGTAAAAGGAGGTCACTCTGCACCCCAATGAGCAGGACCTATAAATGTCTCTTACTAGACCTCCCGCCTCTGTGAACTATCACACCTTCCAGCCCTTTGGACCCTTTCCTCTAGTGGGAAACAGGATTCTAGTGATGCCTTTGTCATGACCTGAACAACTTCTCATGTTGAAATGCCATTCATAGTTTAGGGGTTTTCATTTTTCTTTTTCTGTCTTTCGTTCATTCCACACTCTGTTCACTTTTCCACCAGGCCAGTAGTTATCTTCATCTCAACTTTCAATTCGCTTGTGCATGCATACCAGAGGACATTAATTCCACATCTATGACAGGACTCACAATACTTTTCTCAGTTTACCATTTTATTTTTTGTCAATTGTCATTATGCTTTTCTGTTTCTAAGGTTTCAAATTTGTCAACTTTCTTTTTTTTTTTTTTTTTTTTTTTTTTTTGTCTTTTTGAGACAGGGTCTCCCTGTAGCCCCAGCTGGCCTGGAACTCACAGAGATCCCCCTGCCTCTGCCTCCCAAGTGCTGGGATTAAAGGCGTGTGCCACCACGCCAGATGACAACTTTCCCTCTTCCTAGATCAAAAATGAACTCACCTGTTTCCTTCTAAGTCACACATGGGTTTTGCATTTTGACTTCTGATGTTAGGAAAACTGGCCCTGATACACACTGACCTCATTAAATTTTTAGCGTGAAATTCATTCATTACATTCTCATATTAGGTTGGGAAGTACCTTAAAATATGCTACCTAATGTAAGCAAAGCACTAAAGACATTGGGAACTGTCGCCCACTCAGGGCCATCTGCTAAGGCACTCCTGAAGGCAAGGTGGAGATGGCCATCAAACATGTAAATGTTCACTGGGACCACACATACCTATCAAGTACACACACGTGAATCCATGCACATACATATACACATACATTTTGGTTCTTGTTGTTTTGAGATAGGATCCCACTATATATACCAGGCTGGCCTCAAACACAGATAGATCTACCTGCCCCTGCCTCCCGAGTGCTAGGATTTTTAAAGGCACGTGTCACCATGACTAGCTTCACCTTTTTTTGTTGTTTTTTTTTTTTTTTTTTTTTTTTTTTTTTTTTTTTTTTTTTTTTTTTTTTTTTAATTTTCACTGAATATTAACAAGGCAAAAAGACCCGGAAAGCCTGTATGTCTATTATAAAAAGGTGGCTTGACTACATTATAGGACCTATGATTTAGATCTTAACCATTCCCCCAAAGGCCCATGAGTTAAGGTTTGCTCACTGTGTTCAGCACTACAGTGGCAGTGGAATCAGGAGGTGAGCCCTAATGGAACGAAGTCAAATCCCTGGGAGTGTTAAGATTTGGATGTGAAAAGTCTCCCACAGACCATGTGTTTGAACAAGTGTGTTCCATCTTGGACAAGAGTGGAACCATTACAATGTGGGGCATAACCGGGCTGGAGACTTGCGGCTCGAGCTGAGCCATCTTCCAGTCTCAGTCCCATCTTCGGCTGACCCAGAGTCTCATGCCGCCATGCCTTCTCCATCACGATGGTGGGGCCCTCAAATCAGGAGCCAAAATAAATCCTTCCTCCCCTAAACTGCATCATGTCAGGTATTTGATCACACTTTTGGTCGTCCTAAGGTCATATCCACACACGTGTGCTTCACTCTCTTGTCCTTCCTTCCTCTCTCCCTCCCTCCCTTGCTCCCTAGTCATCATGAAGTGACCATGAGGTGACCGTGCACTTCTGCCACAATGCTCTGCCTCACCATAGGCCCAAATACAGCCAAGCCAAGCAATCATGGATGGACACCACCAAAACCATGAGTCAAGATCCACCTCTTCTCCTTTAAGCTGATTTTCTCAAGTATTTGTTCACCGTGATAAAAAGCTGACTGACACAGGACTGCAGCTGAAATATAAAAAGCAAGATGGGGCTAGAGAGATGGCTCAGTGGTTAAAAGCACTTGCTTCTCTTGCAGAGGACCTAAGTTCAGTTCCCAGTATTCACATGGGGGCAGGTCACAACCTCCGTTCACTCCAGCTCTGGAGGATCCAATGCCTTTTTCTGGCCTCTATGGGCACTGCATTCATGTGTACATACCCACCCAGAGACACATAACTAAAAAACAAAATCTACAAAAAGCAAGATAAATCTCTGAGGGCTGCTTGTAATAGTCTGCTAAAAGAAAGCAAACAAACACAGTGCAGAAGAGTACATCTCATTTGTAAAGAAGGGAAGAAAACGGGACAAGTCCAAGTTCAAGGAAATTTCTAGAAGCAGCTATCAACCTAGAAGTTTAACCCTTTAGATGAGATGAAGTCACAGTTGATCCTCAGGGCACTATTCAGGTGCCTTTCTAAAGTAAATTTATTTATTGATTGATTGATTGATTTATGTATACGTGCATGCATGCAGGCATGTGTACATGTGGGTATGGTATGTGTGGCAGTCACAGGACAACTTGTAGGAGTCCATTCTCTCCTCCCCACCATGTGCGTTGTGAGAATGAAACCCAGGTCATCAGGCTTGGCAGTGAGCCCCTTTACCTGCTGGGCCATCTCTCCAGGCCCTGGATGTACTTTTTTTGGTTTTAGGTTTTTAAAAGTTTGTGTGAATGTTGACTATTTTTAAAATTGTAACCCTGAAAAGGGACACAAATATACTTAATTTATATCAACCTGTATTATTTGCTTTGTGAGATTTATTTTTAATTGGGAGGGTCTGGTGGGGGTGGTCTGTGTGGGAATGTGCACAGGAGTTCAGGTTTGTACAGAATCTAGAAGAGTGCACTGGGTCCCTGGAGCTGAATGTACAGGCGATTGTGAGCCATCCTGCATGGATGCTGGGAACTGAACTTGGGTCCTCTACAAGAACATTACATTCACTTAACTGCTATCACTCTATCACTCCAGCCCCTTACTTGAAGTTTTTGTTCTTTTATTACATTTATTTGTTTATTAGAGGTGAGGTGTTTGTGGCACTGACTGAACATAGAAGTCATGGGACAGTATCTGGGAGTCAGTGCTCTCCTTCCACCATGTAGGTCCTGGGGATCAAATTAAGGTCATCAGGCTTGATAGCAAGCACTCTTACCCACTGAGCCATCTCATCAGCCCTATTTGACTTTTATTACACATTTGTGTGTGTGTGTGTGTGTGTGTGTGTGTGTGTGTGTGTGTGTGTACATGCACCATAGAACACATGCGAGGCCAGAAGTTAGCTTGTAAGAATAGTTTCAGGGTCTGAACTCAGGTCACCAGGCTTGGTGGCAAGCATACCTGCCCACTGAGCCACCTCACAGCTCCATTTGACTTTCAAAGCATGCACTGCTTTCTTTTCTCCTGAATTAATAAACCTTCATCTTTGCTCCCTTCTCAACAGTACTTAGGACCACGAGCATCCTTTCACCTTGAGGTGAAAACAACTATTCTGCTGTAGTCCATCATGAAAACTGTGGCTTGCCACACATTTCCTAAGGACCTGTCTCCCCTGCTAAGAGCTTTTGTAGTCACTGAATGGTCATCAGCAAACCACCCGCTCTGAGTGTGAGGCGAAAGAAACACAATATTTTAATAAAAATGCACTTAGTTTCCAGTGTATATAAAGAAAGAGTTTAGAAACTGTTTTAAGGCCTATGGCAATAAAAATGACTGGTAAAAAATGATCACCACTAACAATACTGAATGCATCCTGTGTCTGGCCAGAAGCCAGGCACATCACACTCACTTTTTTCATGCAACCTTCCCCTGTAAGTTGGGTTAATTTTTATTCCAGTTTTCAGAGAAGGAACCTAGAGCTTAGAAGGAAGAGGGGTGGTGGAAAACCACACAGTTGAAGGGATGGGTAGAGGTCAGGAATCCAGAAAACCTAACTGCGTGGACTGAACATCTGAGGAAATCAGCAGGTCTCATCAGTGATTCTCTATCTCTTGATAAAGATAATGCAGAGCACATTTAAAGACAAAACCAAGCGATTAGACTTGGCCGTGAGGGTATCTCCTGGTAGTTCTAGGCTTCAGAAGCAACTGTTCTGCTATGTCCAACATTTCTGATATTTTGAGCGAGTCAGCTTCTGGTCTTCTCCCCTCAAAAGGTGGGCATGGGCCAGGCATGGTGGCACACACCTTTAATCCCAGCGCTTGGGAGGCAGAGGCAGATGATCTCTGTGAGTTCAAGGCCGGCCTATATAGTGAGTTCCAGGACAGATGGGGCAACAGGGAGACCCTGTCTCAAAAAGACCAAAAAAAAAAGTTGGGCACAGAAGGAAAAGGCAAGTTAATAACGAATGCAAAGTTATCTGTCTCCCTGTTCCCCTGCAGGCTTCGGCATGGCTCCCACCACCGCCACTGAGAACAAAGCATTGATCTTACACAACTGCTCCACTTGAGAGACCAGAGAAGCATCATGAAATAATAAAAAGCCATCTATTCACAGACGTAAATATGGAAGGCAACCAGATTGATGCAAATAAAAGTTCACAGAGAACACCGCAAAGAGAGAAGAAACTTTGATTGTTTTGGCTCCAAAAGCATTTTTTGAGAGAGTTTCTTTGCCACAGAACTCTGAAGACAA